AAAAGACTAGTACAATAACCATTGTGACCTCTACAGAAAAGTGATTCAGGGCCTTGTTCAAACATTGACACCAACATGTAAAGTTGTCAGCACATTTATGCAGGGAAGTACATGTCTGAAAGGGACTCAACAGTTATGACTCAGAGTACATTTTGCCAAATTCAGTTACAAATAGACCATCCCACATAAATACCACGGTGGGTTTATTAAAAAAAAAAAAAAAAAAAAAAAAAAAAAAAGAAATATTCAGAACCATGACCCATTCAGCTTTGCTCAGAGAATCTGGCATTAAGTAAATCTTTTTTTGTTTAGTGTTCACTATGAACAGTTTCAAAGTACTTTTAATAAAGCAGAAGGTGGAATAGTAAACCGCTTATGTCCCCTCCCATCATTCATCATCTGTGGATGTTTTCTGCCTCCTGCTCTTAAATGTAAATCAAGATGTGATGAATGATTTTGTAAAAACTGATGGTTCCACTCAAGAATACTGATAGAAATCCTCCACATAACAGCATATTTCTCAAATCAGCCAGGTCTTCAAACTAAATTCAAGCTACCCTATGGTGTTTTCTTCACTTACTCATGAGGGCAGCTCGGTGGTTGCTGGTCCTGGTCTCCATGGGGCTGGAGCTGTCCGAGTTGCGGGTAGCAAGAGGTTTCGCGACAGGGGCAGTGGACTTTCCGCTGGCATCACCTGTCCATCGCAGTGTGAACTGCAATGTGGGTCCCTGAGAAAATGTCTCAAATGGTGGCAGTCTCTGTGGGACAGTCATACAGTGTAAACAGTCAGTGACATTACGTGGCGGTGTAGAGACGACAACAAGGTCAGGCAAAAGTAAGAAATCTGGTATTTAATTCACAGGTTTGCATAAGTCAGATGTGACAAATGAGAGCATGCACATGTACAAACCCATCCTACCTTCCCATCAAGAATGGTTTCCCATGTGGCTTGTTTCTTGCTCACAGGGCTGTCCTCCATCCCTTGCATCGACACCTCATACTCCCCATCCAGCAGCTGCAATCTCCTGAAGAGGACAAATCAGTGCACATGAATCAGGGATAAAGTCAAAGGAACATTAAAAAGGAAATATTTTACAACTTGTATCACAAAATTTTACCTATTCTTATCAAAGACAGTCATCTGTGCAACATATGTCTCTGTGGTCTCTCCCTCCTCTCTATGGGAGGAACTCCTCTTCTTTCTGCTAGGAGTATCCGTTACATCTGTGCCCAAAAAAATAAGAGTACAAAAATAGAGTAAATTAGAGTGAAAAAAAAAAATCATTCAACCAGCAACCATTTCTGTTACATCTATCATTATTTTTTTTAGATGATCTTCCCAGAGAATGACCGGATCCTCACAACCAGCAGCTTGCAGTGGCTCCTACCAAAATGCGCTGTTAAAATCATTCGCCCCAAAACAAACTGTGCTTTTTCAAAAACCAAAACACAAAATGCTTAGATGTGGAATTCCTACCGATGTTTTCGTTGGCTTCTCCGTTGACCAGACCATTAGTATCCCTCCTCCCTATACGCGACACCCTGAACAGGAGTGAGTAGGACTTCACCATGTGGCTGTTGCTGGGCTCAAACTCATTGCTGGAAACCAGTAAGGAAGGGTAGGAGCCAGGCTTGGTTTGGTTACTGTCAGGATTCAAAGGCACCTGCTTTTTACCTGTAGGCACTTGCTTTACCGGGCAGCTGACATCCTGAAAGAAAAATAACCAGACAGAATTTAACAAACACAATCACTGGTAAGTAACATCAGATGAAATGAAGGGTGAGAGACTGGCACAATTATATTTTACTTTACCTTGCGTTTTTTATGGCAGACTTTGACAAGTAGCACCTCTAAGGACACGGAATTTTGTTCATTTTCTGAAATCTGAGATGGCTTTTCTGTATTGGAACAAAGAGTTCAGCATCACTAATTTTGTCCACATTGCTGATAAGGAAAGTATGTCCAATATACTTTTGTCACTAGTATGAGTGTTTCTTTCTTTCTTCAGGCAAACACAAATGTTAAGTATGTTATTAGTTGCTGAGCTTACTGTCATTGGGTGGTTTCGTGGCAACACAGCACTTACAACAACTAGTTCCAGCATGACTACAAGTAAAACAAGTCTTTACTCTGCTACTTTCTATGCATTTGTGAGTGTTTCCCTTTGCAAAAATATACTAAACACAAACAGTTGGTGAAGAATAAAGCTTGCTTACCATCCTTATGGAAGAACCCAGTGAAGGTTAACTGTAGATGTGAAGACAAGCTAAAGAGCCAAAAGAAAGATGTACAGGTGAAATTGGGTCATATCAAGTGCTCCAGCTGTTAATATTAATGGTTGAATGAACAGCATATATTAATAAAACCACCAATGCAAAATTAAGAGACATAAATGGTGTCTGCATGGTTTTATCTTAATATTTTAGTCCTTAAAAGTATCCAGTAATAAAGGGGCATCACATCAACTCTTACAGAGCTGTGTTACCTTGGAGAATCCTGCTCTCCCTTCATCCGCTCAACTGTCTGCAACATATCGTCCACTTTGAATGTTTTTCTGGGGAGGAAGGATTAAAAGGGCACACAGGTTCCACATGAATTCATTAATACTGTGACCGATTATAGGCGTTTCAGATATGAATTATCTTTTAAAACTCAATAGGTGCATCTCTATGTGCAACACAAGGAACCCTGTTCATAAATGATAAGTGAAAACACCTCACAAGATTTCCTACCTCCTGGCATTTGTTCGACCGTTTCTGTGTGACATGAAGGTGAGCGTCCTGTGCAAAAATATGGGCTAAAAAGGGAAAAGGGAATTAATTATTCAATCACTCATTTAAAGCGGGCAGACTAATCAATAAATGACTCATGAAAAAGATATGTTGAATAATTCACTTACTGCAATCAAGTTCCTTGTGCGAAGAAATCGGTATATCTGAGTGGGTTCTGAAAATAGAGAGGAGGTATTATTGTGACATTTGATCTAGACACAGTGACACAATCCTCCATCACCTGCTCATTCAATTTCTCTGTGTCAGCATCTGAGAAACTATGCCAAATTATTACAAACACATGCCAAAGCATGGGGTGTTAACAGGTGGTAGCTTCTGTAGCAAAACACCCACCAACTTTAGAAAATCTGAGCAGATCATAAACAACACCAGTCTTTATTAAGTTATGTCATTCAGTCTGATACCTGCGTACAAAGTACGGTTATCATGATAGATGTTTAGTTATAACAAACATTGTTTAAGGCTCCCTTTACATAGCCAGTTAAACTATGGAGGCCTGTCTGCCAAAACCAGATATTGATAACAAAATAAGTAACAGTAAAGTTACGCGGGTGTCTAAATGCTTAGTGAGAGAATGGAGAAATTCTTCTCGTGTTAATGAAACAGAAAAGCTGCATTACAAAGTAATGAGGGGAGAGATCTCACTTTCAAAGGCCTGTAGGAACAGCTCACGGTCGGCCTGAATCTGCTCCATCTTCGGCTTCTTCACAGAGTTCATCATTGCTGATGAGGCAGGGTACACAGCGCCGTTAGCTTTGCAACTCGCCCCACTCATAATATGACCTGAGCTCTGCGAGGGAGACAACGACACGTTAGTACATAAATTATTACACAACAACCGGTGGCAGTACAACAAGTTAGCTTAGCAAATACTCGCGTTAGCAGTCAAGCTAACTAGCTCAGCTAAAAGCACAATGCTAACATGTTAGCTAGCCTGGTATTTCAGCGTAGTATTCAATTCGTTTATTCTAACTACTGTTAACGAAAAGCCCAAAATCGGTATGAGGTAAACATTGGGAATAAATAAAGGCAACCCACCCTGGCTGATGGCATTAATTTGTTAGCCTCGCTGCCTCCAGCACAAGCCTGGCAGACTCAACAGCAGAAACCCATGAAGATGAAGAGGAGGCGACGAGACGCTGGCTAGTTAGCTAGCAGAGCTAGCATGGTTTACTAGAAAACAAACCTCCGTACGCCTGAGGTCCACCCGCATTCAACTGTCACAGATAGCGTTAATTCTCAGAGATGATGTGAGTATTTTGGATCTAATTATTGACTATCTGGCTGTAATTTATTGTCGGTGTGGTTTCCTTCAATTTGTACTGAACAACAGAGCAGTAGTCAGTTGACAGCCAATGGGAGACGCGCTGAGAGAATCCAGTGCTGTGATTGGATGCTGCCCTCCGGAGATGACATACAACCCGCTCTCGCTTTCTGTGATTTTGCGGGAAATCGAGTTTATCAGCGTTCACATCTAGACGACTCCGCAGTTTAAACTTTCTCTTTAATACCGCACTTTACCGATGTCTATCCATTGAATATACTCCATCTCCATTCTGCTGCCATGGATGTGATGAAAAAAAACAACAATTTGCAAATGGCTCTATATGTTTATAAGTTATGCAATATATCAATCTGCAATACACAGCAAAAAGCTGAAATGTGTTATTTTTCTCTCTGGTGCAATTACGAGAGTGATAGTGACCTTATGATTTTATGGCTATTGTCTCTTATATTACTACACACAGTATAGGTATGGGTAGGCTATATCTTAATTTTTTCTTAAATTATACATACCTTTACAAATTATTTACTTTATCTTTATCTGTCTGTCTGTCTGTCTTAGTACATGGTGTAGGCTTTCATTGTCTATCCACGTAAGCAAGTAATATAATATTTAATGCCATTTAAAAACATTTATTATAATGCTTTTTTGTGTTTTTTATGTTTTTTTTTCTAGTGAAGATAATAGTGTATCGGCCAACCAAAACATACAGTGTACATGTACATGGACTAGCCAGGTAGAACAGATGAAATCTAATAAACACATTTTTATTGTATTTTACACACACACACACACACACACACACACACACACACACACACACACACACACACACACACACACACACACACACACACACACACACACACACACACTTTAGACCATGTTTCCCGACGGAACTATTTGCAGACGGAACCGGAAGAGCAGCGAATCACAACTTCGGTACACATGTGTGGTGACGAGAGACTCAGCCTCGTCGCCTGAAGTCGTTTAAGTCAATGTAAAGCTGACATTAATAACATTAATAACTTAAACATCGCTGAATCTGAACCCGTGACGGCTGCGTGGACACGATGGCGGAGATCGTTCAGCAGCGGATTGAGGAGAGAATCCCTGAGCTAGAGCAGCTGGAGAGAGTGGGATTGTTCACCAAGAAAGAAGTCAAGTAAGACAACATAAAACGCTTTACAGACACTATCTTTCAGCAGAACAGCAAACCAGTGGACAGCGCACCACTATGTGACAAGACATTGTCACAGGGAGGGCCTTAGTATGCTGTTGTGGGCATCATCTGTCAGAGAAGTGGGAAACTTTGGACAGTAATACAGCGAGATGAGAGTTGACATCCATTTTGTCATCTTGTTATTCTCTCAATGACCTCACTGCTACAGATTAAATATCAGTGGATCTAAAGGGAAATAAACGCTGGAATAACACTGTGTGAAACTGTATGTTAATTTAAGTAAATAATTCAGGCTGACTCAAGTTTATAATCACTGGTCTCCCATCTTTAGATATTTAAATCAAATTTCAACAGAATGGCAACAACTATACTCTGTTTTCGGGTTTAGTGTCCCATGAAAAGAGGTCAATTCTTAATTCTTTCTAAAACACAAGCTTGAGAACTTTTGGCCATGTTAGTATTTTTATTTCTTGTGATGATATCCCTCCCTGAGCTTGACTTGGCACAAGAGCTGTTCACAGGAATGTGCGTACTATGTCCAGTAAAGATAATTAACATGTTTCTTTTCACTATTTTAGATCCATAATCAAGAGAGCGACAGCCCTGGAGTACAAGCTCCACAGGCTGATCGTAAACAAAGAGGACTTCATTGCATACATTCAGGTAGAGTGCCATTATCATGCAAGCTGTTCATCCTTTTAAATAAATAAATAAATGAAGGCAAGGAATCATTTTCAAAATGCTTGTCCCAAAATCTTGTTTAATTACAGTACGAAATCAACGTATTAGAGCTGATCAAGAAGAGAAGAGTGGTAAGTGGCCTTTACGGAAGTTATGTATTTAGTAACATGCATGTAACAGTGTAGCAGCTTGAGTATACACTTGCAGCCTTTTCATTGGTGCTTTCAGTTAATGTCGCATCATTTGACTGTGTTTAATCTTTCATTTGCAGCACATACACTACCAGTTCAAAAGAGAAGAGATTGAGTTCCCTGTCATCCATAGAATAAATAGTATCTTCAGAAGAGCAACAAATAAGTGGAAGGTACTGTATACGCAGTATTATTTGCACTAGGAGTTAAGGCTTCATTTCTAACATCAACATCCATGGTGCATCAAATTACAACAGTTTAGCTACATTCATCCTCTAAAAGAAATCATCTAAATCTAACTGCTTTGACTTCAAGTTTTAGTGAAACTTCTTTTCTTTAAATCAGTATTATAGTTTTAAAATGCATCTGAGAATCATCACTTGACATTAATGTGACAGATGAGGCTTTTTTTTTTTTTACAAACAAATATGGCCGGTAAAGAAAGAGCTCTTGTAATTTTAATGCTCCCCTGAACCTAAAAAACAACGTATGGCTTTATTTTGACTTCCCAAAGAAAAACAGATTCATAGAACATTTATAGTGTGTAAAGGTTTATGATTACTCTATACTGAGTGAGTGAGTGAATGAATGAATGAAGTGAGTCACTTGCCTTTGTTTCCCACAGGATGATGTGCAGCTTTGGCTCTCACATGTTGCTTTCTGTAAGAAATGGGTGCGTAAACAACTCATCATTTGCTGTAAATACAGCTGAGTCAGGTCAAACACACAGTGTCCTCTCACTCTAATTATGATCTCTTCTGGGTTTCGATCGTCAGGCCACCAAGGGACAGATCAGCAAGGTGTTCTCAGCCATGCTTGCCATCCACCCTGACAAACCAGGTACAGAAGATGCTTTTGGAACAGTTTTAACTCCCATTTATACCTCCACTGTGGTTTTTAAAAAAAAAAAAAAAATTCTCTTTAAAATACAGATAAATGTATGTGTGAAAATGTAATCTTGGTGATTAATTAAAAAAAAACAAGCTCAGGCAAAGTGTCTCCTACAAATATATATTAGCAGTGTTTTTGTCTTTATTTTTACCTCTTTAGCTTTGTGGATCATGGCCGCCAAGAGTGAGTTGGAGGATCGAAATTCTTCTGAAAGTGCCAGACACCTGTTTCTGAGGGCTCTGCGCTTCCACCCAAACAACAAGAAGGTCTACCAGGAGGTAAAAGAAGCAAAATAAATATGTTGTTTTTATTTTCAACCCAATGTGAGTCAGTCTCTTACATTTTACATGAGGAAACCTCTATCAATATTCTTTTTATTCTCTCCAACATATTTTTGTCAGTACTTCCGTATGGAGCTGTTGCATTGTGAGAAACTGAGGAAGCAGAAGAAAGAGCTGGAGACAGCGGAGATGGACCTGGTGAGTGTTTCATAAATTGAGCACAGTGGGAAATGCAAAGAGATGATGAACACAAGGCAGTACACACACACACACACACACACACACACACACACACACACACACACACACACACACACACCTCTATGCACAGAAGCTCTTACCTTGTATTCACTGCCTTATTACCTGCTCTTCACACCTTTCAGGGTGAATATGAGTTCTCCCCAGAGATCCTGAGTGGTAAACTGGCTGAGGTTGTGTACCGAGATGCTACTGGAAAAATCAAAGGTACGCTTTTTGAAATTAGTTTCCTGTTCTGTGAAAAAACATAGGCACAAAAATTAGAAATGAGCTTACAGTTTTTTTTTCACATCTTTTTAGAATATATTTGGTATCATCAATGTTACCATTGATATTACTGAAAATGATATTGAAAACCAAAGTACAAAAGATGGCACCCATTATGCTTAGGAGAGATTTTTTTGTCTTGATTACTTATATTTTGATTAGATATTTTCTGATTCACATGAGGACATTGTAAGTTTATATAGTCTGTTTGTTGTTCTACAAACACTAAACACTGATGTATTGGAGAAGTTCGATATAGGGGAGGGTATAATATGTAAATTAGCTTTAGAGGTGCTGCTAGCTTGATTTTGTTACCTTTGAACAGAGCCAGGCTAGCTGTTTCCCCGTGCTTGCACTACATATGCTTAGGTTAAGCTAAGCTAACCAGCTGCTGGACTTTGATATTTAGTATACAGACAGCAGAATGGCATTGGTCTTTTCAGCTAACTGTCTGCAAAAAAAAAAAAAAAGTAAATAAGTGTATTTCCCAAAATGCCAAACTCCTTTAACGACTTCATCTTCACTTTATCTCTGTTGCTGATGTTTTTGTCCCACAGACGCAGAATTTGTCATCTCACTTCTGAACGTCGCAGCCATCTTTGACTTCACTAAAGAACTTCAGGACTCCATCCTGCAAGAGTAAGGCTCTTATTTACATTTTAACAGCTGCTCTTTCACACACATTCGGCATTGTTGAACTCAAAATAGAGCTTCACCGTTAAGCACGAATGTACCTTCTTCCCTCTCTTGTTTCCAGTTTACAGACTAACTACACAGAGGACAGCTTGACATGGGATTTCATGGCCAAGAGGGAGCTGGAGGCTCCCGGGGCAGGAGAGGAGCTGCAGACTGCCAAAGGCCGGGCCTCTGATATCAACCGCAGAGAGGAGCGCTGCTGCCAGGTCTATGAGGAGGGTGTCAAGAGCCTCAACACTGGTAGGAGCTCATACATGCAGAGAGAACACATGTATTGCAGATTCTTATTAAGTATGAAAATGACCTGAAAGCAGTAAAAAGTCTTAATTACAGTTGATACAGTTGGTTTCTTCCCTCTGTGTGTTAGTTTTAAAATACAAAAACATTATTTTCTTAACAGTGTAGTGGTAATGTAACTTCGTTTTACTTTTTAGTTCTCTACCCTGAGTTTACTTAGCACATACTGTCACTTTCATTTCCATCGCTGAATTTGAAACATGTCTGGTTTTGTCTGATCCACGCAGCCTAAAAAGTTCTAAAACATCTTAAATTTGTCTCTCTGAAGCTTGTTGGTGCCCTTCATTAATTTACTGTTGACATGTTCACTGACAACATGATGTGCCAGTGTAACAGACCATTGCTTTGCTTGTGTGCTTTGCGCTCTAGAGCCCATGTGGTCTTGCTATGTGGCCTTCTGCTTGGAAAGGCTGAAAAGAAAGACCAACGTCCAAGAGCTGAAGGAACAGGTGACGAATAATCTTTCAGTTTGAAGTGAATCCATCCTATTTTCATTAATGTCAGTATGACAGCTTGTTTGCTCCAGAGGATAGAGATTTTTACATGTACACTGGAAAATGTCAGTGGCTTTGGTGTTTTTGAAGGTGGATGTGTAAATGGTAAATCCTGACGTGTGTTAATGCGTTTGTGACACAGAGGCAAGAGAGGCTGCTGGGAGTGCTGCAGCGCGCCCACGACTCCTCACTGCTGAAGGAGGATTATTATAAGAAATGGGTAAGATAATGTCTTCATTAAATGTACAGCTGGAATCACAGGGGCCCCGAGGTCTGCGTGGTTCTGTCTTTCCTCTATTTGAGTTTTGACTTGTCAACTGTCTCTTCAAACGAAGCGTGTTTTATTACATAAGTTTAGTTTAGTTTGGCTTTGTGGTGCTTTCAAATGCACTCTGGTGCAGTTCACAAGGAGCAGCAAAGTAACTTTACTGCACTTAAACGGATGCTGTGATCAGAAAGAGAATAATAATAACATCTGAAGCTGAAAGCCAGGAGTTACTTACTCCAAGAATAATAAAACTGCTCTCTCCAGTGATGTGCAAGAATAGACACAGTTCATTAGAAAAACTGTGCAGACAAGTGGGTGTCTTGGCCAAGCCACGGGTGTTTTATTCATGCCACTGCCACCCCATATTGCCCTCTACTGTCTATAAGTTTATAAAAGAATTTTGCACAGATCACATCTTGGCGCCCTCCTGCTGCCTCATGTGAAGATGCCTGGGCACCAACACCACCGAAACGTTTTGGTAAACAAGTTATATGTGAATCTGTGTGACTGAATCCTGATTTCACTTTTAACTTTTCAGGGTGAACCTAACAAAGTCAAATATAGAAACGTAACACCATTTTTTCAACTATAATTCGAAACAAAGTAAACTAAGTTAGTGTGACTGTACCTTAAGACAGTATGTGGTGACACTGTGTAGTATTTATTTACCAGTAAAGATGGGACTGGAATAATAAAGACAAGAAGTTTTAAACAGGAGAAAAATCAATCAACTGTCTTTCTTGATTTAACTTCCAAATAAAGTTATATTAAAAGAGGTGTAACAAAGGTCCAGTGCACCAATGTATGGAAACAACCAACACGATGTTCCCCATGTGACCAGCTGCAGATCCTGCTCTCATCTGAAGACCCTGAGGGAGCGGCCAGTGTTGCCATGGCAGCCACGCAGCGGTACAGCCAGTCGGTGTCTGCATGGAGCCTGAGTCTGAGGACGCTAATGCAGCTGGGGAGCGGAGACATGGGCAGGCTATTCCAGGATGCTCTCACACATGTTAATCCCAAGGTACACACACACACACACACACATACACACATAACTTGACTTAACACAATTTGTTTACAATCACATCAAGTTTGGTTTTTTCTTTGATTACATTGAACACATACACCACATCAGTTGTGCTCCGATATAATCCTTGGAGAACACGCACGCACACACACACACGCACACACGCACACACACACACACACAGGCACTGCTGTATAAGTGGGCCACGTCCTTGGCCCAGTTAGACTCTATTCCATCGTATTAACTTCCCCAAATGGCTGAATGGAGAAGCTATAGACATGTATGAAACTTATACATATACTTATGTACGCATACTTAATACATACCAAGGCATATGATTTTCCTTTTTCTATATTTCGTTATGCTCCCACACTTTACCTCGGTCATTGTTGCACAGTGCATCACAGTATAATGCTACATGAATACAAATGCTTCGTCTCAGCCACAGGCCTCTATAATAGCGAGCAGAATAGCTGGTTATTGTTGTGTTGGAGGTTTCACAAGACTGTGGCCCTGAGAAGTAGCTGTGTGAGGAGGATTACAACACACTGCTCATTATGCAAGTCTTTTCTCTCAAGATAAACACTCTCTTTAAGTGTTGTGAAATAGTATAAACCTCCAAGGGGTTTATGTCTGATGTGTCGAACAATAAAATCTTGCTGTATTTATCTGTGCTCCTGTGCATGGCAAATTGCTAGCTGAGAGCAGAACCAGGTGATCTGTCATTCTGACGCTACACTAGGATACAGTGTCATTCAAATCTTTGCATGTAATGGGGTTTCCCCACACAGTAGCAACATCTGCAAGTATGGGTCTATTCACTCTAAGACAGAAAAAGGTGATGGAGATATTGTATGACGCTGACAACACATACCTCCATTCAATGCTGCAGCAAGTGTGCTCTGTGCAGAGCGAGATGCTTGTTAGAAACTAACTAACAGCTAAATCCCTCCTGTGCTATTCTAACAGGAGAGTCTACCACTTTGGCAGCTGCAGGTCCAGTGGAGCGCAGCCAACCAGAGTCCTGAGGAAACGGAGGCCATCTTCAAGGTAGCCCACCTGAATCCATCCCAGTCAGTTTGAAACTAATGCACAGTGTTCTCTCATTGCGGTCCATATCTTTTGACAGCACTTACAGTTATTTATTTCTTCTAATATAAAAGCAGCACATAATGACATGTCTTTTTGTAATTGTTTTCATTAGAACTACATTTTATCAATAAGAGGAGCAGTTAATTAGCAGTTTTCCCCATGCCCCATGTAAAGAAATGTATAGAGATAAAGTGAAATCAGGAGAAGCAGGTACTGTTCATCATCATATTTTCAGATAAATACTTAGAGATGAAGCTGGAAGAGATCAATAGTCCTTTATGTCTGCTCAGTGTTTTGGCCTCTGAAATGAGAATACCATGCAGACAGTTTGTTTTCTTGTGTGTTCCCAGAGAGGTCTGCTGTCTGCAGTAGCGGCTGTTGCCATGGAGATGAAAGAGAGCTACCTCGATTGGTCCTACTCCACTGGAGGCTACAAGAAAGCTAGGAAGACCTTTACAAGGTAAAAACAAATAACTGTGTTTGCTCATGTCCGCAATTCAAATGATAAATAACACAAAATGAATACACATTTTAATTGGTCCCAAAAAAAGAAAACGCAGCAAAAAAGTGTGTCTTGTGATGAAACGGTAGATTTTAAGCTAAAAAGAACTTTCTTCTTCTGTAGCTTACAGGAAAACCGTCCCTTGTCCAAGGCCTTTTTCACCAGAATGATTCAGATCGAGAAGGAACAAGTATGTATGAAAACTCTTATGTAACTACACTTGAGTCTGAAAACTTTAAGGTAGAGGACAGATTCACACTGACAATAGTTAGAACTCTTTACATTGTTTGATCTGCCACTGACTATGGATCTGGTTGTAATGATTAGTTTTGACACATTGCTGCAGCTGTTTCAGAAGGCTTTCAACTCTGCCACAAAAAAAAACAAAAAAAACATTCTGAAGACAGATGGTGGACTTTGATGTTATTTGTATTACCGATAAGCCGACAATGTTGTTTGTTCGTCCAGGAGACTCCAAAGATGAACAATCTGAGAGACTACTATGAGAGGGCGCTACAGGAGTTTGGCACAACAGATGACGGTGAGTTTAAATGCCTTAAAGGAACAAGACTAAAAAAGGAAAAGTAGTATTAGTCTTTTCTTTTTTTCTTTTTCTTTTTTTTTTTTTTTTTTCAAAACTGCACCAAAAATGATTGAACAACAAAGTCAGATGATTCGAATATAAGATATAAATACATGTCAGTTTGGATGTATTTAGAAGACGAGTGAAAATACAGTCTTGGACAGAGACTGACTCTCACACAAACTATAAGTCTCAGGTTTCTAGGACAAAGAAAAATGTATTAATTGGGATATGGGAAGTTGAAGAACCTTTTGTTGAATGTCATATTATTCAATCAGAACATCTTTGTGCATCTCCACGTTTGAATTTAGCTTAATGTTTTCCCGGCATTTTTATTCCCTACAAAGATCTGTGGCTGCAGTACATCCAGGAGGAGCTGGGACCCCGCGGACAGCCGGAGAACTGTGGCAAGATCCACTGGAGAGCCATGAAGTTTCTGGAGGGGGAGAATGTAGAGAGATTCACTTCCAAATATACTCTGCTTCAGACTGGACACTTATGAGTAGATTACGCAAGGTCCAGGTACTCGAGCTCGAGGCCTGTTAGTTCAGATACCAACAACCAATGTTTTAACAACTGTGTAGATGTTTGTCAGCTGAAGATGTTGAAGCAGCTGTTCCTCTTGGTTCTGGTGAAGACTGGTGTTATGCCTGCTCATGAATTTTTTTTATTGCCTTCAAGTGGAAACCCAGCGTTGCAGTTTCTGAAGTTTACAGTCGATTCTTCTTCAGTGGTTCTCCCAGTGTTCTCAGAAGTGTTCAAAGATGAGATTGAAATTCCTCCGGTGATTTTGGTTTTATGCAGAACTATTTTATAGCTGCGCTTTACAACTCTAACCGACTTTCCTTTTTTTTTTTTATACAACAGCAATTTACCTGCAAGAATTCCACATTTATTTGGCATTTTGAGAAAACAACCTTGCTGTTAAAATGATATTAAAACAATGTTTCATCCTTAGGTGTTTACTCTTGTTCTGTTCCCTCTGGGACAGTTACAAATGTACACAGATATACACACAGCACATACACTTATTTTTCTAAACTCAGGACTCTTGTGGCAGTAGTTTCCATTGACTTACCGCTTCTTTAAACAGTCCTCTCAGCAAGTGAAGTTAAATTAAGTTACCATGACAAAAACGTCCTTTATCCTGTAAAAGACACTTATCATTTCATACCATACGTTGATCCAGTGTTTGCAGTCAGTGCCTAGTATCATCTCTTAAATCTTACACTGGTACATGTTACAAAAACAAAACCATAAATATTAAGCAGCAGTAGTACTATGGGGTAGTAGCACATCTATGAAAACTTTCAATGGCCAGATAAAAGAAATGCTGCCCACAAACATCAAAAACATATTTACAGTTTTTAAGGACACTTCATATTGTCTTTTATATAGCACTCGCACCAACAGTGATGGGTTATAACAGGTGTGGGATATAACAAAACGTTAACATAAAAAGTATAATGCTGTATACGCTTTTATTTATGCTTAAGCTGGTTAGGGATAAAGTTTTGGGAGGGAACAATTAATTCTGTTGGTGTTTAAACCATTAAAATGAAGTGTTAAATCTTAAATTTAAAAGATACTGAATACTGGTGCATAAAATATGTCGTCATCACTATAAAAACTATCTACACTAGCCTTTAAAAAACAGTTGGACCCTGTAGCCCCACATGCTCACCTCCTACACAACCATTATATTACTGATAGAACACATGAACTTCAGATTGTTTTCCCCGAAGCTAGATTTATGAAAAAGGTGGCACTGCAGTGATGTTGGGGAAAAAAAGTAGTAGAAAGTTAAAACCTCATGCTTTGATCATTAATAGTTTGTTTTTTCATGAGGCTGCGTCTCGACAGTGTGCCAGTGTGTGTTAGGTCCCATTACATCTCCTCCTTACAGTTTCTTCCCATGGAAACTACATTTACCCTGCAGCTCTTATGAGCCTTTGTAATGTACCCGAAGTGTAAAATTCCCCTTTGTCTGTCTGATCAGTGTTTGCTCTACCACGTTAAACTCCAACGTCCGAATTGGGTTGGTCCACTTTTCGCATCACAGCCCCGGCCCACCCCTTCACACATCTTCAGAGCTTCTTGAAGAGGATGTAGGTGAAGAGTACCAATACGCCAGCAGACAGCAGCCCAATCACACACTGGTGGATGGTGATGACATTCTCCAGGGCGTGGATGCGCTCCTCCATGGCGTTGGTGTGGATGTAGTCATAGATGGAGGCCCCGATGCTCCACACCGCCCATACAGCATCCACCACCGCTTTCATGGTGGGAGAGACCATTGAGAGGGCCGCCTGCAGCCGGGCGCTGGCCGCATCCGGTGCTTACTGGCCCCACTGCACTACAGAGAGCGAAAGAAGAGGGTGACACATGGTGCAGTGAGGGAGAGAGCAATGTGTGGGCATTGTGACTGCCTCGATGACACATCTCTACAACCAAGAGCAGACCATTTGGTCCAGAGGAGCTTCATCTCAGAAGATTGTTAGTCAAATAAGAAAATGCAGAACTGTCTGTGGGAAAAGTGAAACTTCTGATCAAAGTTTGATCATTTTTGCTTGAAAACTGACTTAAATGATTAATTATGAAAATAGTTGATTCATTTTCTGCCGATCAATTAATCGATTGACTAATCGTTATCTGTATTTTTTTGCAGTACCAATTTTGAAGTAAGTTTTGAAGTTCTACATGAGCATGTCCTTTTTATACTTCTTTACACTTCTACTCCACTGCAGTTTAGAGGCAAATAATATTTTTTAACTCCACTACTTTTCTTTGATAACTGTAGTTAGATAAAGAGTTTACTTACTTGATAAAACATGTAATCATCTTATAAAATATAATGCATTTTCAAACTACCCTATATACAAAGTAGGTAAAATTGGCTCCATCTGGCCCAGCTGCTACATTAAAATCTAGTTTAATACAGTATATTTAAAAATATAACAGTGTATCAGTTATTCTGGGAGCTTCTACTTCTGATATTTTAACTACATTTTGCTAATAGTAAATGTTTTCACTTGAGTACAATTCTAAATGCAAACCTCTAGTGGAGTATTTTTTACACCAAGGTATTACTACTTTTACTTAAAGGGAGACTGTGTAAGTTTTGGAGAACAGCAGTAACTATGCCATAAAGTGGCAATTACAAAAATAATGGCACATTAATATTTCACTATACTTTCCGGTATTTTCATGAGTCTCTTACTTTAGATATTATAAAGATATTAAAGATTATATTAAAGATCTCATTACAGACTGAAAGTGGAGAGAAATAAACAAAGAGCATGCCTCTTGGTGAGGTACACTGTGGTAGCTTTAATTTGTACTTTTGTGATAAAACCATTGAAACCAAATCTATGACATGTTAAAAATAGCAGTGTTACAGTAACACAAGTAGATATGAGTCTTTAAATGACACAATATCAGTTGCACAGCCACACCTATTTAAGGTTAGCTAACCTTAGCTAACATTTGCCACCATAAGCTACTGGTCATACCAGACCAAGGCTGTAAAAACAAAACCCAGATTTGGAAGTGAATAAGTGTTTTTTTTTTTTGTTTTTTCTACTTTTAATTTGTAAGAGAAATAATATCTTATCTGTATCTTTCCAATGTTGCACAGTGTCACTTAAAGTAATGTATGCAACAAAATGATGTATGTAACATATATGAAACAACAGTAATATAAGTTAAAACCACTGTTAATGTGCCTTTCTGCCCCGAGCAGCCAGGGTATTTACATTCCTGCCTCTCCCTCTGCTCTATTGGTCGACTGACTCCCATGCTGACGTCATGTCAGTATTAATAAATTTGGTCCAATACTCAATTGGATTCACATGATTAGACATTTGATATGCTCAATATAAAAACAGCACTCTGACTCTGCAGTGCAACAGGATCCCGAGTTAGGGGGAATTGAGGAACAAGATGCGCACAGGGATCAAAATGCACAGGCTTTACGACGAACACATTTGTGACCGGAGTCAAAACTCACCGCCGGGTGTCAGACGTTAACGCGAGGGTGCAGATGATGATGAACATCCGTCCTGCTGTTAATGAAGTGATGAATAATTTTGTTTAAGAGAAGTCGGGCAGTTCCTGATAGAAACCAAGTCGGACATTGCTATTTGGTGTCAAGTCAGCCTAAATCACACACATCGCTTCCGGTACATGCCTTCAACATAATATCAATTGCGCCTTTCTATAGGGTGACAGAGATTTCCCAAGCACTTAGAAATTTGTATGAAACCGATGTGACGCCAAAATACAACACGTAGAAGGTTTAAATTGCTATTCAAATAAATAATGGGTTCTTCGGGACTAAGCAGCAACTCTTTTATTTTATTTTGATAAGAAAATCATTCAATATCCGGCATTATTGTGGACGTCTTGTCTACATTGAAGCAGCTGACTGATGGGAGCGTCACAGCCACTAAAAGTGGAGCATGACCCCGGCAATAGAATAGAAGAGAATAGAATAGAATAGAAAATATGAGAATGTAATATAATAGAACCCAACTAAACAGAATATAATGAAACATGTCAGAATAGAACAGAATGCAAAGTATCACAGTAGATTACAACAGAATACAAACTAACAGAATGAAAAAAATTGCAGAATAAATTCAAAATGGCAAAATAACAAAAGAGAATGCAAAATAGCATAAAGAATAACACATAACATAACATAACATAACATAACATAACATAACATAACATAACATAACATAACATAACATAAAACAAAACATTACACTTTGCTGACTTAATAGAAAATCTAAAATGACGCCACTGATTAAATTTGTCCAGCAGAATCCAGCTGCTATTGCCCCTGATGTGCAGCTGCACGTGATCACACTCAGTGATCTGAATAAAACAGTAAAGCTTGTTTGGCACATGCATGTAATGAGGTGTCGTGTCACGTCACCGCCACCAGGCGTCGCAGCACACTAACATGTTGCTGGTCAGGGAGGTAACAGGAGAGGTGTGATGAACCTGGGATGTATATAGCCTCCTGAACAGCATCGATAAAAGAGGGGAACACCTTGAGAGAACCGCAGACGAGCCGCCCCGGAGTCGCCCGAGACGCAGCTGAGCGCCGCACGGGCCTGTGTGGCGCATGTGGACGGACGAGCCAACACACTGCAGGAATGTGTGCAGTTACAGGCAAACATACATGCTCGGACATTACTCAATGTAGTGCTCTTTCAGAATAATTGGAAATATGGGGCCACGCTGCTGCGCCCCCAACCGAAACCTATAATTGGAGACGAGCCAGTGACGCGCTGAAAATAACCAGGTTACCACTTAGCACCGGTCCATTTTGGGGAGGGCCCAACACGAGGGCGCAGCACCATATATCAGCTCCTTCCAGCTGTTTGGGAATATCCTGCTCACATTATCGAGGCTGCAGCATGGCAGTAGCAGCAGCAGCAGCAGCAGCAGCAGCGAGCTCCTTTCTCTCTCTCCGTCTCCCCGTCTCCCCGGCTGTTTCTTTCAGGAATGGATATTGGGTGACTGGCTGGGTGCTGGGTGCGCACTGGGGATCTCTTGGTGGGAAACGCAGAAGCTTTTTTGTTAAGGAGGGAGGGCGGGAGGAGGGAGACTGGCACAAGGCGCGACACTGTTGCGTCTACATATTTTTTTCTCCTTGGGCAGAGGGGAAAAGATAGGCCAGGGGGACTGTCCGACTTATTCCAAAAGACAATTCGTTCCCCCCACCCCCAAAAGGATAATCTTGCTCAATTTGGGATGCGTGCAACACCAAGTGATCAGATATTACTGGGGCGGCGGTGGTGCTGGCGGTGGGTGGACGGTGAAGTTCAACTTCGCTTGCAGACGCGATCTTCTTCAGGCAGCCAGACAACCAACCAGACAGTCGGCGCATTTTACGCGAAGTCCCCATATGGCTATGGGATGCTGACACCTGCCCGGCACGCAGGTAACAACGACTGGGCAGCATCACCTACTTCCCCAGATACTGACAGACAGCAGATCAGCGGGTATGTATCAGCGTGTTCACAGATTAAACCATTCGCATTCCCTCATTACCTTGTCTGGAAGTAAGATTTTTGGGTACATAAGACATTTTCAGAAACCATAGGTCGCACCTTCCTCCGCACAGTCTCCGGCGGTGGGACTGATGATAATGATGATGATGATGATGATGATGATGTGTGTCAGAGGCTGGGTCTTTGCGGGCAAGGTGAGTCCTCAATTAATTCAACTGGCCTACAAAGTCCCAGTTTCTGGCTCATGTGACCACCAAATTATAGACAGGACACTGCTGCTGCACGTTCATCTTTTAAAGGAAAGAGACAGGGAAGACATGGGAGGTCTTAACGGAGAATACAAACGGGCAATTTCGACAAATTAAAAAAAAAAAGATGGTAAAGTCTAACTACAAAGCTCGATAATGTCTGTAAACACACCGTTTCATACCACAGATGCATAATGTAATCAATATTACTTTTTAGAGAATATAAAAGCGAACCTGTCGAGCCTAAAAACAAAGTACAGCATGATTAGGTTACCATAAAGTCACTATCAAATACCATAGGGGCATTATAATCCACAGGTAATATTATACATTACAATATAGTATATAAGTTAATTTTTTTTAAGTTAAATGTATGAGATAGATACGCTTAAGACCGTAATTTACACAAATAAAAGTGCAAGCAGCTGCAGGTGGTCAACCACCAAATGAAAAAACATGACTGTAAAATTAACTATTAAATAGCTCAAAGGTTCAAACCTTGAATGTCATTGCTTAATAACTGGCTAAAAATCTTTGATTAGTCAAAGCTGAACTTTTCACATAGGGCCTGGTGAAAGAGAAACATCCTTCAGCAGCAGAGCAGAGGTTGCCCTCTCTTTGATGGATACAATGAGGAACAACTTCAATTCTGCAGTGCAGTTCTTGATAAATCTTTTCAAAACAAATTTTTTTCAGCTCCATCAAAAACAGGCCAAATTAGAAAAAAAAAAGTTAAACTTAATAGGAGAATCAGTTTAAATTTTTCATTAATTTCTCTTAAAAAACCACACGATAAAAAGGGAATTTCTTGTACCCTCTGTGAATTAAGATGAGCAATTAAATCAAAAACTTTAACCATTATTGTGGAAACTAACAGCTCAAGCTCATCGTGAACATACCTAAACTAAAAAAAAAAAAAATAGAGTAGAGTTGTCAAGAAATCACAAAGTGCTATACTCTATTATGTCGAACAAGTGTGTCAAGTGGGGAAGAAGTTGTTTTGGAGGCCTGTTTCTATATCTGTCCTGACCCTAGCATGCCGTACATACCTCACTAATGAATTTAGCATCCTGACACTAGATGCTTTATGTAATTAATAGAGCGGAGGGCCATGGTGGCATCTCCGTGCTGCAACTGACACATAGGTAAGACATTCGCTGAAGCATGGGATTTTTATTTTAAAGACACGAGACCTCTGTGATGATTAAAACACACTGAAAACAGCCCTGTAAATGAAACAGACTCCCCTGACATCACAATAGTTGGGAAGACATCACATTAATCTTTCTGTCAATTTTATTTATTGAAAAGTTAGCACTTGATCATAAGTTATTTGTAGGTTGTGCATAACAGATCAGTGGCAGGTCATTAGTCTTTACAAGCCTGCTATTTCGTGTTGCATCTGTAATAAGTTGCTGTGGACTGAAGTTACAGGAAAGTTGACATTTTGTCAAGCCTATTTATGGTTTGGATAAAATTCCTTGTCATTGCAGGTGATATCTTTATGCTAATGAACAATGTTACGTGCATAAAATATTTCAAACACTCTTTAACGTCCTTGTGATCAAATTGTTATCATAAAATATATTTAAAATCAAATATAGAGAATACATTAAATGTTTCTAGTGCACCTCAGATCTGCCGGGATGCACTCAGCTTTCATCGATGGGTCCCTCCAACGTAGCCCACTAAAGCGCAATGACACATCACAGAAAGCAGATAAAACCACTCCAGCCAAAAGCTCTCCATATATGCTGTAGGAGAGAACGAGCCAGTGCGAGAGCGAGAGCTGAGGGCCTAGTAAGGGAGGCTTGGTGGAATGAGCCTGGTTTGAATAAGCAGCGTGGCTACGGGGAGCTCTGGGATAGTCACCAAGTGTGCTGATTAAAGTTGTGATATTAAACAGTGCTGGCTGCTGCTGCCTGCCAAGCCTCTCTCAGTGGCATTTCACATTGTTTAAAAAGCCCAATCAGACTCATCTCGCCACTTGCTGCACTGTGTTGCTTACATCTTTTTTTTTTTTTTTTTTCCAGCACGGCAGTCTCATATTCTCTCCTCACACCATTTGTAAGCAGGGTCGTAGACTTACTTTAAATAGACTTTTCCTACATTTCTGTTTTGGGGTCACAGGGTTCACTTTGTTCTCAAATTGACCAGAACAATCAGGGCACATGTATGATATTCTGAGCATCATATAGATGACTCTGCTAAGCTAAAAGCTTCAGATTGTGTTTACCTTTTCTGTGAAAGCTGAACTTCTAATGAACACACAGAGCGCTCCTTCTTGGAAATTCTGCTCTGAACTCATTCAACCCCCCTTTAAAAACGTCACTGCAAATCCCAATAAAACTCTGCCATTATAAATATACAATTCATAAATACTGGAAAGCATGCTCGCTTTTTGTGAAATATATGACCCAGCCCCCCCTGAAAAAAGGTCATGCTTCAGACGCTGTGGTCACTCCAGGTTGTTACATGTCTTTAGCCGCGATTGAACAGATACCAAAGTTATGCACCAAATCGCACTTGAGGAGCCAGAAAATGTTGTAGTTTGATCTCAAAAGTTTGGAATGAGACATACAAAGATTAAGCTAGGGAGGGAGGGAGGGAGAGAGAAAGAAAAGGCAGCAAGAAAAGTGAGGGACTTTTAGGGGCAGCTGTGTTTTATTAACCCAGTCATAATGCCCCTAAAAATCCTTATTGCTCTTGCAATGGTCAACAAATCTCCTGTTGCAACATGTAGAGGATCTCTGAACGTCATGTAGGGATTCATTATCAACAACCTGTTGCACTGCAGGGCCAGGGCACAAGTCAGTGTAGGTTACATTCAGAGATTTTAACCCAAGTTAGGCCGACCGTCGAAGTCA